TTTGCTATTAAATAGATTGCTCTGGTTCAATCAGACAATGCACTATATCAATCGGGTATTGTTTAAGCCGATTAAATCGGTAAACGACTTTAAATCGAAATTGAACAATAGGTTTGATATGCGAAGTAACAGATATCATATAACTTTGTTCTTGTACACTTGACTATAACGATATAATGTAAGCGAGAGCATAGAAAGAATAGCCAAAATTATTGATAACATGGAATGTACGGAGCGTCTAGAGGTGAAAGATGGGTTACTCAGCTGTGAAAACAGCCGAATTAAAAGGAATTTAAAACAATTTTCAATTTCATTATACTCTCTAACCTACTTAGGAATACATAACATGATAATATTGTATAAACATGATTTATTTTCAATTAAATTATAGAAAATAAGAAAAATACCTCTTTCGTTTGGTTAATAATATTGTTCATTTTTTGAAGTTACAATTTAATTGGAAGAAAGAAATTGATATTTCAGTTGGATTTCTAAAGTTTCATTGAAAAAAGTTATTTTTATTTTGCAAGTTAATTTACCTGATATTGCTAAATATTTGAAGTAATAGATAATAGATAGGTAATATGTCATTCATCCAAAAAATGCAACAATATTTCGGTGGACGTGGAAAATATACCTGCAAACAGTTAAAGGCCTCTTCACGGTACTACTTAAGACACAAATTATAAAATTAAAAAAAAAACGACAACAATGGAATTGAAGATGTACATATAAGCATATTAAATTAAAATTTTTTTAAAAAATTGGAAAACGCAGTTTTAAATCAAATTTAAATCAAATTTCAAAATGTTGTTTATTAAATAATATATTGGTATACCTATATATATATATTTATATGCATATATGTATATTTATGTATATACGTGGGTGCTTTGATAAGTCAGTGACTTTTTGAATTTCCCGCGCAGTTACTTCAAATGCAACAGTGTTGCCATCAGCTGTAATCTACCAGAGGGCAACTTTTTAATTTTGAGCAAGCTACGTCGTTCAGTTGGTGTTTGATAGCCGTTCGAAGCAGACAACCTAGTGAATTTTTACGATAATGGAAAAAAGTGACTTTCACCATTTCTTTAGGTTTGGAAACAGAAAATAGTCGCACGGGGATAAATCTGGAGAATATGCTGGATGGGGTAGCAGTTCGTATCCCAACTCGAGGATTTTGGCCACAATGCTTAATCAGCACATATTTTTTTTAAAAACAAAATTGCGAATACTAGAATTTTACCTCGAAGGTGGTCTAAGGTAAAATTGTGCGCAACATAAAAATTGTCACTTCTATTTAATTGACGATATAGGTCGATCTAGTAACCATAAATGATTATGCAGTTATTTAAAGAAGTTTTTATTTTTCGGCAATTATCCGTTTGCAAAAGCTAATAGCCGAAACACTTGTACTCCTCGTCCCCTCGTGCTGATGTTCCGTTTATACTTATTCAGTATCTGTGAAGCGCATATATTTGCGAAATAGCGGTAATTATTCATACTGCCATATAAACCGAAGGTTTGATTTTAGTTTTTTTTATTCATCTTAAATTGATTTCTATATAATTTTATTATAATAC